AGAATACTGAATTCTCTATATGGGATGGCAAGATTTTAAATAAATAAATATGTATTAAAATTGTCTGCCCATTTTGTATAATGGAAAAGGTATTTGTAATTCACCTGTTGTCTCTGAAAGTTTATCGTGATATGACTGTTCAGCAAGGACTTGACATGTTTGTTTTTGACAAGAAAAACACACATAAAAATGTGTTATAAGATCTAAAATAATCAGTGTTTTTCTGGAAAGATATCAGATGAAGTTACACAATAGTGGTCAAAGTTTTGACAAGTAACACTTGACGGATCAAACAATGATCAGATCATGCCAATGATTTTGCATTTCACAGAAGCAATTTTTGCATGTGTTTTATACTCAGTGGTATTGAATACTGAAGATTTTCCCCCTGAGATCCCTTGCACCAGATTGGAATACTGCACCACCTATTTCAAACAGATGCATATTCTGATTTCATATACATATACATCATTTGAAGCATATTTTGCGTACAGCACAAACAACAAATTAATGAGTGGATGAGCCAGAATGGTGTAGTTATGAATTTCACCAGCCACATAATTACAAAGTATTTCTACCCAAACAAGAGACAGAAAAATTAGACTTTTGCAACTTGCTGTATTTTTCGTTGTCACGGGTCAATGCGACATTAATCCAGAGTCCTTACTAAAACCCAGACAGTCGAGCACATTACGCTGCTCTTTAAATCCTTCTGCTTGGCGTCCTATATGCCAACAGTTAGATTTCCCAAATTATTTCCGAAATGATCTTGGGCCAAAACACATCTCTCATTTCCTTCTACACATCAACAGAATCAAAGCAGGATTTAGTTTGTATGCTTGACATTTGTGGAATGAGATTCCTGAAAACATAAGGTCTGATAAAACTGTCAGTTCATGTAAATCAGGCTTAAACAATAAATTGCACATAGAACAATAGAAACATGACAACAACATATCAATAATACAGACACATCACAATATAGAAGGTGGGTAACTACACCTAGAAAATATTGCAGGTATTTTGACCAAAAAAAAGCGTTTAGAAAAGTGTACTTTGGCGTCATCTACTGGTCGACACACACACACACACACACACACACACACAC